ATAATAAAATAAATAATAAAATACAATATCGGAATAATAAACTAATAAAATAATAAACTGTTCTATAACAGTAATAAAGGAGACTAAAGGCAAGATGGCCTAAGTAGAAAAAATAAAATAAAATAAAAATAAACTATGATAGGCTCTAAGAAAAATATCAATAAACATTATCTATTAGGCCAATAGACATAGTCTATTGGGATGTCTAATGCATATCTAATTACAAACATAGTGCAAGTTATATAGTAAAATCATTAATCAATTTTTTTATAATTAGTGATGGTGTAGTAGTAGCATAAGTATTGAATCTAGCTATAAAGTGTTCAATGTACTATGTAAATTAAACTATAAATAGGATTACATATATGATTTATTATTGAGGATTTTTCACCAAATTTTTAATAATTTCAAAAATTTCAGAAAATTCACTTTTCAAATTATTTCTTTTATTTAGTGAACAAACTATTAAACAAATTGTCTGCTTCTATTTCTCTAAACATTACCAGTTTTTTATTAACCTGTTTATTTAACTTTTTTTTTATTTTTTCTTTAAATTACCAATTCCTTATCCATTAAAGGTACTTGTTTAACTCCCAAAAGGCGTAATTGTGCCTTTTTGGTTTGAGATTTATGTTCATATGATATTTAAGATCATACTTATTAAATAAACAAATTCGGCATTTGACAAATTCATATAATAAAGGAAAAGTATGAACTGGTAATTCATCAGAGTTAGCAAAATCTAATAGTTCTTTTAAAAATAATGAATCCTCAATTGCCTGTAATAAGCCAAAATCATTGGAATTGGATTGTTCAATATCAGATTGTAAAAGAGTTATATAGTCAAACCTCCATAAATGCAATGTGTACAGACTAGCCTAAAACGTGTATTTAGGAAGGTTTATATTTAGAGAGAGCCAATCAAATTGCAGCTTTTAATATTTGATTTGCAGACTTGTATAACAAACTTAAATACTGACTTTTGATTAGCTACATGCACTTAGGAAAGTTAGTATGATATAAAAATCTTTTGAGTAAACATATATTTGCAGAATATAGAATATGCATTTAGTACTAATGATTTCATACAGCCAAGACAAAAATGTGTATTTAGGGAGGTATTGTATTTATGGAGGTTGTATTTAGGAAGGTCTGACTGTATAACACAACTCTTTAAGACTAGAAACCTAATTTTGTTGCCATTTTAACCTTACATACAAATAGCTTCTAGTGAATTCATGACCATATTTACCACTTAATCGACAAATACTTAATGGAAGGTGAAGCTACATACCTATCCAAGTTTCTAAAAAATTTGTAGCTTTATCAATACCAAGTACTAAATTATTAGAAAAAGTTTCAAACTCCTTATCATCAAAGATATTTGTAGTATTCTATAGTTCTGTGTCAAAAAATAAACAAATATCATCTCTAACTCTATACAAAATTCCCATCTACTTAACAACAGCATCAGATATTTTGTAGGCTCGTGGCCTGCTAAAAGTAGTAATAGTTGACCATCCAATTTAAAAATTTGTGATTCATCATTGAATCCAATAAGAAAATTCATAATCGGTTTATAAATGTGTTTACCAAATTTTACAAAACATTCGATTTGTATTTTTAGAATTGGATTTGTAAGCCATTGCTGAAGAAGTTTCTATTTTTTAAGATATGTTTTTGATATTATTTTTGTAACTTTAGTTTACTTAAAAACCAAAGAGTGAACTTTTCTATATATTCTCTTTTTTCTATTAGCTGTCTTGTCATCTGCAATTCATATAACCTATATAGGTTAATTAAAGATATTGGGCTCTAGACAGAGATACTAAAGTTACTTTGAACCCCACAATTAATTATTTTTAATTAGTCTGCTATATGGAACAATTGCTCAATAAATATCCCAAGTAATTCAAATAAAATACTAAAAAATTTAAGGATATAATAGATTATACAGGATAATGCATCAAACCCATTAGTCTTAGCCCAAAACCTATTAGTCCAAACTCTATAGAGTCAGGCTATTCAATATCGTTATTATAGATATATATATATATATATATATACGTATGTATATTGTAAATATCAAATTTATCCCCACCTATTTTAATTATATTGTAAAATTAAAGGTTTATCATTATTTAGTAGACAATATAATATTAAGCAGCCTATCAAAAAATTTTGGGGTACTATGTCTAGACTTTATGCATATTCTGAATTAGACTATATGCACTGTTGCTATAAAAGTTTTTGAAAATGAGTTAATTGAATACCAAATAATTTAGAATATAACTTAAATATATAAGATGATTTCATATTCATTGGATTGTCTTTGTTACTTTCGCTATAGCTATTATGCAATTACCAAATAAGATAAAGCAAATTAAAAGGATATTTTTGTATAAAAAATCCTTTTTTGACTTTTAGCTTTCCAAATGCAGTATTTTCAAAATTTGGCATCATTATATATACTGTATGAAGCCTGCAAGAAATTCGAAATGAATTCGAATTAATTTTTTTATTGAATAATGTTATAGTACCATTTTTATAACCTGACATATATGCTATATTATCTGTTATTCAAGTTAAGTATTTGGTTGGATCTAGTTGATATTTATTGCATAACTTAATAACAGTATGTGCAATTAGTACTCTGGTGCATTAAGTTAAGTCCTTGAGTTCTAATAAAGTAACTTTTGGTTCATCATTAATGATCCTAATATATAAAATATATAATGAAGACCTTACTATCACTACATGTTAATTCGTTCGCCATAATGCTAAAAGTAAACCATTTAGATATTTTAGTAATAGTACATTGTTGAATTACATAAATATTTAATACATCCTGATATCATCCAACAAGTATATTAGCAGAAAACTACTTATCCAGCTCTTTATCAATTAACCATTCGATTACTTTTTT